AAATAAATAAATAAAATCACATATCCCGATATGAATTTTTTTTACCAACCATTTATATTTGTATATCACTGTTTTCAATTATGTATAATCCCACCAATCAACTATCGAGTATGCTTACGTTCATTATTGTTCTTGTACGTCATACATTCAAACAAAGATGTTATTCCTTCATTTTTCAACAAGGTATTCTAAATAGTCACTTCATATATATACCAATTTTTAATCACTTCCTTATTAAAATTATTTATCAACAACAAGGGATCTTTATAGTCTATACTTAATATCTCAAATCTTAAAGGAGTCAAACGGGGGATGAGCAGAGGCCTCGGACGGACGGGGGAGCGAATGGGCAATCTCACCTCAGCCTGGTTCTTGCGAAGCTGGGATTTGAGAAACGAAGTCCCTTTGATAAGGGCCCGAATATGCTGCTGTTTCTCATTCTGTGGGAGGAAAGCAGAGGAAGAGAATGACGGGGATGCATGCGAGTCCCTCGACAAACTAGCGCAATGAGGGCTAACCTTTTTCTAATGGTGTGCCAAAATTGGGCATGCACATGCTATCGCGCACGTCCCCACCTGCACACGACCACACGCATTACTGGTGCGTGTGCGCCCCTCCAAAGAGGGGGAGTTTTTTGCCCTCCCCAGGCTCCAGAGGCTTTCCTGAAGCCTGGGGAGGGCGGAAAATGGCGCAACCAGAAGTTCGGGAATGAACATCTTTGGTGCGTAATGCCGGCAGGAACTCCCCCCTTGCCTGGGTCATCCCACCTCCCTCCCATTCCTTTCTCTTCCACCTGCACGCCTACCACCAAATGGCGGAAGTCCAAGATGCGCTGGCGTTTGGCTTGCAAGTTCTGCAGTTCGGCGTAGCGGGCCTTCACAGCTTCTTCCAATTCCTGGCACCCCTGAAGCAGCCCATCCCTGTATCCTCGCAACCTCACCGCCCGGAGCTCCAGCTCAAAGACCGTCCTGGATTGCGAGGGGAAAGGACTGAGTCAGCCTAACTTACAGATCGGGTTGTTTCAGTGGGCGTTTTGGGACTTAAGTACAAAGCATCCATTGCTTCTTGTCCTGCCCTCGGGTGCTTTGGAGAATAGCTTGACTCCCTCTTCTTTGGGGCAGCCCCTGAGATATTGGAACCCTGCTATCGTGTCTCCCCTGGTCCTTCTTTTCATCAAACTAGGCATACCCAGTTCCAGCAACACAAACACAAATCTCATTCATCATCATCTTCATTTAACCACCCCGTAATCCTTTGCAACTAAATGAAGCTAGCAGAGTGTTTTAATGGCCGGATGACCTTCCTGTCACCAAGGCGGAGTTTTGTTTGGCAGATATATTCCCAGTGTGCCCAGAGAAATATCTGCCTCTACCCAGGATCGAACTCACAGCCTCCTGATTGTGAGGCGAGAGTTCCACCTCTAGACCACTGCACCACTCCTTGTCATCACTCCCTCGTCGGAAGCCCATCTGGAAGTTTCTTACCTGGCCAGGATGGAGCGCTCTGATCCGTCAGACAGGAGACTGTGCATCTCCTTAACTAGGGCTTCGAGACGTGCCAGTAGGCCTTTCTCTTCAGCATGCAGGGGAACCTGCTGCACACACAGCACCTCACACTTGCTCCAGCCCTCCTGTCCCACGCAAAGAAAAGAGACCCAGGTGAGGATTTCCCCCCATAGAGTATACAGGAAACCCACCAGGTGAATTTAATCTATTAATGCCCCCACCCACTCACCCCAGTCAGAATGTTCCACCCAGAAACAGGCTGTTTAAAACCTCACCACAGCTGCTCTGGCTGTGAAACGAAAATGATTTATCACTTATAGCTTTTATGTACACTGAGAGCTATGCACCGAAGACAAATTCCTTTTGTGTCCAGTCACACTTGGCCAATTAAGAATTCTACTCTATTCTGTTGTGTTCTGTTGTATTCTATTCTATTCTGTCCTATTCTATTCTATTCCTAATTCCATTCTATTCCTAATTCCATTCTATTCCTAATTCCATTCTATTCCTAATTCC